AATTTAGGTTTTTTGTTATTCCAAATAAATATATCAAAGATACTGTTTAACTTATCAAAGAATTCTTTTGGAAAAGGCAGAGGAAGTGACTGGAACAGATATAAACATTTTGGTAATATGTTCATTTTTATAATGTTTCTATGGCCATTCACTGATATGGCCATTGTCATTCATTTATTTAGCGATTCCTCCACTTCACTAATCAAGGGTCATAGTTTGTTGCTACAATGGTGTCAATGTCTGGGGTGATTTTAACTCCAAGATACACAAATCCTTTTTGCATTAATAAGCGAGGTTTGTATAATAGGATTTAGCCTTTCATCCTTGTTCAGAAATAGGATGGAGGATTTTGAATCATTATAGCCAGAAATAACTCCATTAGTTGCATTAATTTTGGTATAGTAATGGAGAGCCTAGTCAAAAAAATCTATCAGGTCATCAGCATAAAGGGCCAATCTATGCTCTTGATCTCCTAACTGGAAAACAAATATGTCAGTTCTCATTCTAACATCATCGCCAGCTAAGAAAAATAGCATTGGAGATAACGGGCACCCCTGGCGTGTGGAACGCTCCAATGTGATAGGGTTAGAAACTTGTTATCTGTTAAAACATTAGCTTTGGGATTTGTATACAAACGTTTAACCCATTTGAGAAAAGTGTTTCCAAATCTATATTTTGGAAGAACATTAAATAAATATGACTCCTGTATTCTGTCAAAGGCCTGACGAGCATCAAGTGATAATAATGCTGTATCTTTAGCATCAAATTTCTCATGAATTATAATCAAAATCCTTCTTATGTTGTGAAACCCTTGACGTTTTAGTACAAAGCCATTTTGATCATCATGAACTAAATGTGCGATACAGGAGTCTAATCGTCTTGCTAAAACTTTACAAAGTATTTTAGTGTCAACCACCATTAGTCTAAATGATGAACTCTCTGCAGGGGCTTACCAGGTTTCAGTAGCAAAGTAAGCATTACCTGTTCCAGAGTAGGTGGGAGAGTTTCATTTACGCTTCTTCAGGGTAAAAAGAGGAAATGTTAATTTTTCTTGGAAATTTTTACAAAATTCGACCGGAAAGCCATCTGGCCCAGGTGCCTTACCACTGTTAATGCTTTGATAGCCTGTGATATCTCTTCAATAGACGTCCGTCTAACTCCTGCTTTGTGTTTTCCATTAGTGTCTGGAACTGATTTTGATCTAAGAATACGTCCTGTTCTTCTGAGGCATAAGCACATTCTGATTTATACAAATTTTCAACTCATTAATTTCCAATGGATCTACTGTTACATACCCTGAAGAGGTCTTTATACTATTAATTGCTCCTTCACTCTGCATTTTCTTAATTCTCCATGCCAAAAGTCTACCTGCTTTCTCTCCTTGGTCATAATAAGATTGCTTCAGCCACATTAGACTTTTTGCTGCTGCGGATATTGTATTATTTTAGGGTCTACCTTACAATATAAAGTGCCTTGAGGCGACTGTTGTTGTGAATTGGCGCTATATAAATAAAATTGAATTGAATTGAAAGATGGAGACTGTTTTGGTAGCTCTCGTGACTTTAATAGCAACGCCATAAACGACACTGGGACAGCTCTGTCTTAACGTGGCGACTCCGTTTATTGCCAAACTGCAACATACAATACACACGGCACAACCACCAGAGGGTGCTGCATGAACCATTGAATTAGTCCTTACCATAACATCCCCCTTTCTGAGTACATTATAACCATAATGTTTCCTGTGCTAATCCACATTTATGTCAACACTACATTCACTGCAACTTAACTTGTAGCTGAATATTTCAATGCTGTTACATTAACTTTTATTCTGTAACGGACATTTATTGTTTCCACTTTATAACAATTATTTTATTTAACTGTGTAAACTTATCCAACTATGACGGTGGGGTAGACTTCCCAATCCTTCCGCTGAGTGAGGGGATTATTCTGCCCCTGGCTGGTCACTCAGGTGCTCGAGAGTACCTACTACCTACTTCAAAGTCTTTAAGGTATCTCGGTGGGTTTCTGTCTCTGGTGGGATATCTTTTTTCAGTAATCCGGTCATACGGTGGTGTAAGACACTGCTTGGCATGAGTGTTTCTCTGGGTTGCTGTCTCACCTTTGCACACGTCTCACATTCTGCTACCAGCTGTTGTAGTTGAGAGCTCAGTCCTGGCCACCATACCGACTGCTTGGCTCGTTCCCTGGACTTTACAATGCCCTGGTGACCTGTGTGCAGTCGTGTCAAAACATCTTTTTGTAATATTTTTGGAATAACTATACGCATACCTTTTAGGAGAAGTTCATTTTCAACAGTCAGGTCCCCTGCATGCTGGTGGTATGGGAAACATGGACCTGGTATTTTGAGTTTGTCCGGCCAGCCATTCTTGCAGTAGAGTTTGATTTGTTTTAGTGTTTCGTCTTTGTCTTGCTGCTCTCTTATTTGTTGTAGTCTCTCCTCTGTTGCAGGAAGACCTGAAATCACCTGATGTGCATACAGGTTCATTTCGTCTCTTAATGTCTCGTCACAAACAGTTTTTTCTGGTGCTCTGGACAGCACGTCTGCAGTTGCGATGTGTTTGCCTGGGACATGTGAGATGGTGAAAGAGTACCGCATTAATCTCATTCTCAGTCTTTGTACTCGTGGTGGCAGTTCGTCTAAGTTCTTGGAGCCCAAAAGTGGTACTAAAGGCTTGTGATCTGTCTCAACATGGAACTCAATGCCTATAAGAAAATCAGAGAATCGCTCACATGCCCAGGTTATGGCTAACGCTTCCTTCTCTATTTGAGCGTACCTCTGTTCCGTGGGGGTTAATGCTCTTGAAGCGAAGGCCACTGGTTTAGTTGTTTCATCCTCTTGTTCTGAAGTAGCACCGCTCCTAGTCCATAGGAGGATGCATCAGCTGATACTGTTGTTTGTGCTTTGGGGTTGTAGAGTGCCAAGTTCGGTGGTTTACTCAGTTCTGCCTTAATGTTGTCAAACGCTGTTTGTTGAGCCTCACTCCAACACCACATGTTTTTGGTACTGAGTAGTTCTCTCAACGGCTGTGTTTTCTCTGCTAAGTGGGGAAGGTACTTGCCTAGATGATTAACCATTCCTAGGAATCGTCTCACTCCACCCACATCGGTGGGTGCCTCCATGTTGCTGACCGCTTTCACTTTTTCTGGGTCTGCTTTGACTCCTGTAGTGTCAATGATCTGTCCGAGGAACTTGATTGAGGTCTTTGCAAACTCACACTTCTCACTTTTCAATGTCACCCCAGCTTTTGTGAGCCGTTCCAGGACTGCGATCAGTCTCTTGTCGTGCTGGGTTTGTGTGTCAGCATAAACCAGAATGTCATCCATCTGGCAGACGACTCCTTCCAGCCCCTCCAAAAGCTGAGACATTCGTTTTTGGAAGTGTTCTGGGGCCGAAGATATGCCAAAACAAAGTCTATTAAAACAGAATCTTCCGAATGGCGTGATGAAGGTTGTGAGAAGAGCTGACTGTTTGGACAAAGGTATTTGCCAAAACCCTGAATTAGCATCGAGTTTCGAGAACACTTTCGCACCCTCTAGTTGACCTAGAGTGTGCTCAACTGATGGCAACATGTGTCTTTCTCTTTTCACTGAGTTATTCAGTTTGGTCAAGTCCACGCACACGCGCACTTCTTCTCTGTTTGGTTTAGGTACTGGAACCATTCCTGCACACCAGTCGGTAGGCTGCTCTACTCTGGAGATGACACCTAACTCTTCCATACGAGCTAGTTCTCTTTTGACTTTGGGTAACAGGGGAAGCGGGACTCTTCTTGGAGTTGACAGGGCAAACGGTTTGGCGTCTGCTTTAAGCTCAATTTTGTATTCCCCCGCCATCCGGCCTAACCCACTGAATAGTGTTGGAAACTGCTGCTTCACTGTTTCTACTGAAGTGAGTGACACAGTTTCTATTCTAGCCACTAACCCGAGTGCTACGCTCGCTATGCGGCTTAGTAATCCTTGTGTCAGGTCTGCTACTACATACACAGGCTGTACTGTAGCTTTTCTTGGAGTGCTCAAGTTAGCAGTAAATTTCCCTCTAACTGTTAATGGAGACATTCCCACCACATATAGTTTCAGATCTGTGGGTTGCAGCTGTGGTTTTTGTGCTAGAGTGTTGTACTCTTTTTCAGGCAAGACGGTTACGTCCGCTCCTGTATCAATTTTTAGCCAGCAGTCTGCATTGTTAACTTTTACTTTAGTCAACCACGCATCCTCTGTTCTATCTGAGGCTACTGTTCCCAGAAATGCTATTTCTCTTTCTTCTCTGTTACCACCCGCTGCACGTATTTCTCCCACTGCCCCAGACCTACATACCCTTGCGTAGTGACCTTTCTTTTTGCACTGATTGCAGAGTACCTCTCTGGCTGGGCACTGGTGTTTGCTGTGAAAGGGTGTCTTTCCACATCGGTTGCATTGGCTTTTCACATTCCTCTCCGTGGTTTGTGGTACAGTCTTTCGTGGTTTGAAGTGTTTCGTTTTTGCTTTAACGATGTCCACGTTGCAAAGATTCTCCTGCTTGAAGTTGTTTTTAAGAAGATCCTTTTGTTTCTTAACAAGTTCACTTTGGCGAATCTGTATCACTGCTTTTTCTAATGTGAGCTCCGCATCCATTTGTAGTTGCTCCGAGAGTCTCTTGTCTCTTATTCCGACAACGAGTCTGTCTCTTATCATTTCGCTGTGTAGCTACCCGTAGCCGCAATGCTCTGCCAAGGCGTATAGAGATGTAATAAACCCGTCTGTGGTTTCGCCTGCTTCTTGCTGCCTTTGGTTGAATTTTGCTCGTTCAAAGATAACGTTTCTTCTGACGACAAAGTGTGCTTCAAGTTTGTCTTTGAGAATGTGGTACTCACTCGCCTCCTCGTCGTTTAGGTTCAGTGAAGTGATCACATCTTCCGCTTCGTCACCCATTGTATATATCAGAGTGTTAACCTGGTTTTCGTCCGATTGTAGCTCGAGTCCGGATGCTATCCTGAACCTGTCGAAGAGTCGGATCCATTTCGGCCACTCTTCCGGCTTTGAAAAGTCGAACTTCGGCGGCGGTGATACTTGGAAGGCTGCTGGCGCGGCTGCCATGCTGCTAGTCGTGAGATGCTAGTTAGCGTTTGTTAATTTGTTAGCTTAGCTCTTACTGTGGCTGTTAATGCAAACTTGCAGGGCGAGTTCTCTCCGGTGAGGAAGTTTCCGTGTTCCGTTATGTTCTTCTTCTCTCCCAAGCACTTCTGACACCATGTTTTGGTAGCTCTCGTGACTTTAATAGCAACGCCATAAACGACACTGGGACAGCTCTGTCTTAACGTGGCAACTCCGTTTATTGCCAAACTGCAACATACAATACACACGGCACAACCACCAGAGGGTGCTGCATGAACCATTGAATTAGTCCTTACATAAACATCCCCCTTTCAGCACAAGAGTTAAAGCAGTCGTCATGGTGATTCTACTGTAGAAGCATGAACAGGTAGAGGCTGCAGCCTGATTGCAGCAAGTTTTTTACTTGTTGTTCAGGCTCTGGCTGCTGGACTGAGGTCTGCATTTACTCAGCTTTAGCATCACTCTGGGTTCTTGGCTAGCTTAGCATTAGCATGCCATCTGTGAAGGTGCTTGCAAAGAGCTGAAGTTGTGTTAGCAGAATAATGCAGCTGTTTCTGTCCTGGAGCAGTCTCCACTTTACCATAAAATATCCATATTCATGCTGTAGGCTGTGCCACTATTTTCCTTCTCCTGCACACAAACTGAAATTAGCTGATTGTCCAAGTGCAAGCAGAACCGATAAGTGTGATCGATAGGCAAAGCATTTTTCCCCTTTTTCTTAAGGACATGACTTCATGATATCAGGTACTGTTTATCTGCTGTAGATATCGTTTTAGGCCTTACACTTCTTCTTTAGGCCTTCACTTTTCCATTGTCCTCAGTTTTTTTTTACAAAGGCACGCTGCTCACAATGCCAAAATGTGCAAACTTTTCAGCTAACAGGTCTGCGAGAATAAACTTGCTGGTGCAAAAGTACTATTTCATGCTGTCAAAATGTGTTGTTTTTTCAGTTAAAGCTGTGAAAATGCTAAGGAATGTGTTATGTATTTTTATGACAGGCTGCTAGTAGCAAAGTATCTAAAGATCCTGTTTAAAACCTGATTCTTACTTAAAGTTAAACTGCAGTTTTGAAAGAGGGATGAATGCTTCCATCATCAATAATCTTCTTGCATAAATTTTCTTCTTTATTGCTCCATCTATACTGTATACCCTGTATTTCTTTTCTATATTTCACAATGGTCTGACAAACACTAAAATAAAAGTATTTTCCAGAATGCTCCTGTGATCGACGGGGGACTCAGGAGACTCGGTGTCCTCTGGGGAGACCCTGTTTCTGTGATCCCAGGACAGGACAGTGTCCCTGTAGGACAGGTGTGATAGGTAAACTCTGTGATGAATGTGAGGACAGATACTGGAATCTGAACATAGCCTCGGGATGTCAGCCCTGCAGCTGTGACCTCATCAAATCTATCTCCAACATCTGTGACAAGGCAAGAGCTCCACAGCCAGTGTCGGCGTGTGACCACAGGGTTCAGTTTTCATTTATCATTTAGGGTGTGAAACTGTCACTCAGCTACTCCTCTCACCTCAGAAAAACAGCCTTGTATGTTTGTGTGTCCATTTCAAGGTTGTTTTTATTTCAAATAAAAAACAAAATTATAAATAATCACCTGCAGTAGATGCTGATGGTTAAACTTTGAATGAATGTGCTGTGACATATTCAGGTAACTGGACATTGTCCATGCCATCCTGAGTTTGGAGGAAGGCACTGTGATGAATGCAGAGAAAATCATTTTAGGAATCCAGACCTGCAGTGTATCTGTGAGTAATATTTCAATGTTTCCTTTAAGTGGACAATTCTTCTTTTCTTTTCTGACATATGTCTCCAGTGGTGTTTATTCATATAAATC